GAAATCCAATTTAATTGCCGTCCTTTAATTATATTCAACAAAAGTTTCGTTTGCTGGAGGATTTCCCTCACCATAAATTTTTGAATGTAATCTCAAAACTTTAGTTCCAAGAAGCAAACTTTTAGAAGCAAACTAACTTTAGAAGCAAACTAAAGTTTGCTTCTAAGATGTACTTGCCACCATTTTTTTTTTCATACTAACAAATTTATTGAAGAAAATCTTGAATGGTAATATAAAAAAGCGCCTTAGAAGCATGAGAATCAGTCTAATGAACTGCAAAATACGGTGGCACATTTTAACTGGTAAACTAGACCAACGAGTAACGGTTGAGTGATGATTGGTATATAATAAATACGCAGCGGTACCTAAGGAAGTTTTATCTCGAAGAAATATTTTCCATTTGTTTTGAAATAATATCAATCATATATGAAATTAAGTTATCGCTCGTTGAATAAAAAACAAGTAGATTTGGAGTGATGTAAATTCAAATTTATGATTATTTCACATAAAAATAATTCAAATACACCAAAGATTAATTTATATGAATCATATAATATCGCTAAGGATAAATTCTTTTTCCTTCAGATGTTTTAAAAGCAAATAGGTCACAACAGATCACAATGTGATAAATGGAAAAAAATCTCATATATCATACTGTGATTTAGGACACACATTTTTTTTGTCTTTATTCTGACTTTTCTTGTACGGTATTTTATCATTTACCGAAAAGAGACTTGAAGAAAATTACTGGAACGATCATAGGGTTTACACTTACTTCACGTTTAACAAGTTTTCCGCCGCTATAAATGCAATGAATTTTCGTCTTTTCGTTAAATTTGAGATCAGGTACTAGTTTAGGAGTGAGTCTGAAAAATTTTGCAATCATAGAAACGAATCTAGGAAATTCATATGCCGAAACTGTTATCCCAATAGTGCTGGATACAATTACATACAATGTATGGCCATCTAGAATATCCCTTTTTACAACTATGTCTAGACGAGAAGATAGCATTGTTCTAGTTCACATTTGAAGGAACTTACATAAAATATTGTGTTTTTGCTAAATCATTATCTTTGCAAAGCATATCTACAATCATGTTAAATACAATCTTCTCATTTCTTGGATCCATTCCTGGAAAAAAAAAGCATTGACTCTTACCAATTACCTAACTTGAAATTTTCGCCAAAATAAACACAACCAATCTATCATTCATATATCAACATCCAGTACACCCCGTTTTACTATTAATATTTGTTTTCTATTCTCTAATTAAATACTACATATAATGAAATGCTATATTATTTATACTATGCATAAACAATGAGTAAAACTGGAAATTATAAGTAATATATCTCCGAAAATTTTCCAACATATCTCTGAAATTTTATCACAGCGTTTTAAGGAGACACTGCTGTGTGTTTGATGAGTCTAACTAACCGGATTAATCAGGAGTTACAGCATAACTCACAATGTAATTATGGGATAGCCACCTTTTGAATTCAAAGTAAGAAAGTATGAAAAAATCTGATCAGAGAATTTATCCTACAATACACTATTTCGTTCCATTCAAATCCATATGAACTTTTCGGGGAAACTTAATATAAACCTGGTTATGATTAGAGAATACCTAAACATGATACCTTGATTGATTTCATCGACACAGCGAAAAGGTACTACTGTTAATTTTTGTAATGCCAAAATATATAACATTGTGATCACACTACGTTCACCACCTGACTGTGTCTATAATGTAACATTATAATGCCAAATACATAAACAATTCAGCTGTTCATTATTTTGGAAGTCCAAGAGAATAAGATTTCTTGACATGAAGGCAAATCGGAGAAATAATGAGAAATAAACAGAATTAGAGAATTAAAATGAAGTACGCATAAACTCACTTGACGCGTTAATTGACGAAGCCTTTCACCTTCACGAAATTTGGCAGTTACTACAATGCCATAATTTAAAATATCAAGCTGCAAGTTAAAATTAGAAAAAAACAGTTAAAGTGAGAAATAATTTCTAGTTCCTTTCAAAAACTAAAAGATGGATGAAAAAATTGAGAGGTTTGTTCTCCTAATCGTCTAATGATACAGTATTTCGCCAGAAATAGGAAATGAAGCAATTTCTCAATTACATATATAAAGGAAACTTCATTAATGAATTACGCAAAAATTGAAGAAATACTTGAAAAAATTTTTCATAATATATAAGAAAATTTCAGACTATCACCTTATCATCAGGCTTCAAAAGATGAACTTCCCCAGAGCATCCCATACTTTCAAAGAAGGAACTGAAATGCTGATTCAGTTTTCCAACGACACTTTCTAATTCAAGCAACCACTCTTCCAACAAGCGATTGAGTTTGTTTTCCCACTCACTGACCTTAAAATAACAAATATCAGGAAAAAATGAAGAATTATCCAGGCTTCATCATTATGTTTATCAAACCAACACTTTTCAACGGATAAAATAATACTAAGTTTCCCGTTTTCCGTCACTCGGACTTTTGTAATAGTGACAAGCGCTTTAACACAGCATTCACTTATTTACGTGATTCGAGTTATTGTTTTATCCATTCAAAAGATGTTCAATTTATCCTAATTTTTATTCAAAGCGCTTACCTCGCGTAATTTTCAACCTACTTATGGAATAATTAAGAACGGCAAACATTCACCGGTAACATACATCTTTTTTCTAGCAGCCGATTCTTTGATGAGAGATTCTCTCTCCCGTGTCAGTTTTTCGAAACGTTCAATATCCTGAAATGTGACGTAGCATAAGAAAATAAACAGAAAAAACTCTCATGAAAATGCAACACTTTTAACAATTCGAGATATTATTTCAAAAGTGGCAAAAAGTCATCTAAAACAAACAGAGAATAGCAAAAGATGTCGATAATTATTGAAAAGATTGATGCTCAATACGAGAAAAAAAAGCAGTGGCCACCGAAACTAACTTTTTTTCGCCTTCACTATGTAATGCATCCAGTTTTCCCTGTTCACGTGCCAGTTCGAGTTCGATCTCATCATCAGTGGCCGGAATTGCATAGCAATCAAAATTCTAAAAAGTTGAGATATACGCAAATTTGCAATCAAGGAAATAAATTCAGATAGACTTGAAACTATCACTGAAAACCATTTTCAAAAAAATGATTGACATCGCTATTCAGCATGAAATTTTACAATGAACGAGATAACATGAAGCATCCATAAATTTTATCACAGTGGGCAATTTTTTTTAAAAATTTTTAACATAGCATTCAATTAAACGTTTGTATAATATTTAATTATAACTACCCATAGAAACTTTTTTTTTTTTGTAACAATGAACATAAGTATTGCACTAAAATACATCGTCCAGCATTTTATTCCCAATAGATAATGTGATATATGGTTAAATTATATTAACTCTACCAACGAACCTTTTCCAAAATTTCTAATGCTTCGGTTACTTCGCTTGCAGATGGATCTTCAATACCGATTGCTTCATACAATCGTTGCTTTTCTTCCTTAGTTTTTCTATTGCCATTTTAACGGTTATTCCCGTATGTCTGATTTCATCCTTTAAATTAAAAAAAAAAAAGATTAAAAATAGTTTTAGAGAAATATATTGACAGGACTTTACAAGACCACTTGGAACATGAATGCAAACGAATTTTAAAAATCTTTAAGAACTCATAAAATACCGATTTAGACTCATATTCCTCCTCAAAGCAATTCAATCGTTTCCGCAACTTATCCAACTCCTTTAGCATGTTTTTCGCACTTAATCTTGCAAATAATGCATTCTGGATGAGTGATTTCCTTCTTTCCTGAGCATATTAAATTTAATAAGATTAAGCAAAAAGTAACATCCATCATTTAAGCACTATCTGTTAAAGTGAGAAATACAAGTTTATTCATTAGTGATTTCCGGAGAAACGTCCCAAATTAATAAGAATTAGCTAGTGAAATTCGGCAAATGACTAGCGCTGGTGACGAGTAGCACAAAATTGATAACAACAGAAAGGTTCGAAGTTATAAACACGACAACGAAATTATCATAACACGCTGTAAGGTAAAAAACAAAAAATATGAACTGTCTTAAATCCTTAACGCCATATTTTTCTTTCTTACTACGACAATAGTAGAATATTTTCAAATATCTTTTTGAAATTGAAAAAAAGGAATACCATCAATTTAGCAACTTTTTCAATCCGTTCAAACGATTCTGCAATGATTTCATCTTTGGTTTTTTGAAAATTCTTTGCAGCAATATTCAAATCAGGTTTATCATTTTCAATGACATGTATTCTGCAAAATAAGTTATAATGATCAGTGGTGGTTCTCTGGCCTATGATTAACAAATCAAAAAGAACGTTCAAGAATCTACATCAAGTTGAAATTTAATTGTGAATTTTTATACTACAAACCAAGTTGTTTTTGATTAAATGGCAGCAATAAGTAATAAAAATGAATGCTACAAGGGGAAAAAAAAACTTTCTGTCGAAAAATGAAATAACGCAATTAACCTAGCAGCTTTCGAACGCAGCTGACTTGAAATGATATTTCGCGCATCCTTCTTTTTGATAAATGCATCCTGAAATGTGAATTACAGAACATTTAAGTGCATAAGATGGAATCAGAATCATTTAGTCTTAACCAAAATGTTACCATTTAAAGAATCTTTACTTGGCTTGAAAAAACAAGAGATGGATTTGCAGAAACATACCATCTTTCTACGACATCTTTCTCGTCCCTCTGCGATATTTTTTTCCGTCTGTCCGATACGCTCATGAACCAATCGCATCTAAAGTAAAAATATGAAAAATTTAGAAGTCGTCCATGGTTTTTCAACTGAACATTATATCTACCACTGGATCATGTTATTTCGAAACACTGATGTTAAGCGTACCACTAAAATCGTAACAAAGGAAAGACCTACCTCATTCGCAAGTCCCTTAAGCTTTGTGAATTGTTTTTCCAATTCACTGAGACTCTGCGTATTACTTTTAGGTAAAGCAGTATGAACAGTAAGAAGTCGCAAGGAAGTACGTAATGCTTCCGTTCGAACCGACAAATTACCACTGTAGCGAGATATTGAGATTCGTACCTGAAAATATTAATCATTGTCACTTGCCATTTCATATAAAACAAATAACTTGATTCAGAACATTCACAAACGAATTATAAGAGACGACTAGCAATACGGATACGTATCAGTTATAATGAAAGATATCAAATTATACCCTTAAATTGGTCTAACAGTAGGTCAAAATAAAAAATAAAAGGGAAAGAAAACAAACAGCATAAAATTACCCGCAAGGAATTTGTAAGAAACAAACGATGAGAATTCTTGAGTGCTTCGCAAACTTCATCTAAGCGATTTTCTGCTGTTTGGGTACCAATGGGAATTTTGTGCAACTAGAAAAAAAAACATGATATTTATGAAAATCGACAACAGGTTTTACTTAAGTCGTGAACGAGACCGGGAAATGCAACTCAAGAGCACATGTACTAAAAACAATAAGGAAACCCCAGGAACATTTCGTTTTGCTAATCGAACGTTTAGCAATTACCGATGCGACGTTGTTCAAATATGCTTTCACAGCATCTGGTGCAGTATACAGGTTTGATGCCATGTAAGTGAATCCCAGGGAAGATAAATGCGCAGGTATCGACTCCTCTTTTCCAAAGCGTGTTATCTGGAATCCCGATAAGTTTTATTCAACCTAATCTTTTAAACTTCATCTCAAACAAATACCTGTTAGAGACTAATAAATTCAGCTAATAAATAAATCATTAAGTAAATCAAATAAGTTCACTGACAATAAAGGGAAAAAAGGAGTATGATACAAACAAAAAAACGACCATAACCAAAGTGACGTTGATTGCAGAAAAACTAAGTAAACAGTTGACCTCTTCATCGCTTATGATACATGAATTAATTTTCCATGGATGCCGTTTATCCGTTAACAATAATTCATCTTCTTTGCAACGAAATATGAACATCAACAAATCACGACGTGCAATGATATTTTCTAAATAAACTGCGGCATCGTCGTTTACCAAAGACATCTGGAAATAGGAAGCATATCCAAAAAAAACTAAAGGAAGATATTCATGCAGCGACACAAAGATTTATAACGAATAATTCTAGGTATCATTGATTTTCTTTGGACTTTCCCTTCCTAACATAGTAATTTCAATCCTCTTTTAGAAGATGGGATAGGACGATATTAGCATATCTCCAATCATAATTCCTGACTCAGTCCAAGGAGAAACCAATTAAACCACTTTGACTATTTGACTTGAAAAACCGTCCTGATAGCCACCCTTTCAATAGAATATGCCAAAGGCTCAGTCGGACATTAAATACAAATCACATTTTAAGAAATTCACTGTGTACTTACAAATAACAAAGGAACCAAAACCGGATATCGAAACTTTTCTTTCTGCGATTCATACCATTGCCATGCCTCGTCACATTTCATCTCTCTACCATTTCCTTTCAGAACATCAAATTTCTTTCGAAATGGCTGCTGATCAATGTCGATCGCTTCCTTAACAGCTAAAAAACAAGCTAAATGCTGAAAGCACAATGATATAAGTGTGTACGCCTTAAAAAATCCATTCCAGTTTCGAATCTTAGTAAAATTTCGTTTAGAAATTCTGAAAATTACGAAACAAACCTCGTATTTTGGAATCGATTTCAGCTATTTTATTATTCAAGACTGATTTTTGTTTATCTAATTCTTCCTCCTTTCTATTCCACTCCAAATATTCCTTTCTGACTTCCGCATTCTCGTTCTGCAACAAAAGCTACCGCTGAAAACATTTAATCATTGCCTTACTCCAGAAAAAGAGAATTAAAGACAATTTTTTTTATAATAAAACCATTTAATGAAAAAAATCCTTTTGCACGCGAGATACATCAATCGCATACAAAGCACTTCAAGAAAGGTTACGATGCAAAGCTTACGATTTATTCCCTTTCATGCATTTGAGTTTCCAAAACTAAAATTGTTTTAAGTCATTTGGCGTTAGTCAACAAGAAGTACTGATGTCTTTTCGGTTTTTCCAAAAATAACCTGCACTGTGTCATAGTACTGTGTCATAGTACTTACCTTAGTACTATGACTGTCACTACTGATACTAAGCTTATGTAAACTTACCTTAATTAAATTTCTTACATTTACTTTATAAAACAAGGGAGGACCGGAGAACACAATGCTTTATTCTCATCACTTCTACTTTTGTTTCATTTGTGAATTTAATAAAACACAAAATACCTCCATAGACATGAACTCTTGGTTGGCAGCAGCAAGTTTCTCTTCCAAAAGAACACATTCGGCTCGTGTGGCACTTAATCGTTCTTCCCATTCACTGTACTCTTTCTTAGCTCGTTCATAATCTTTTGTCACACTTAATATCTATAATTTAATATCACCATTAAAAGAACAGCATATTGCACTGCTATGTAATAACAAGCCATGACAATCTTCCATGTGTTTTTTACAGCAAGTTCCAATAGTTATTGGTTATTTAATTATATGAATAGTAGAGTAAAAAAAGGGAATCCCGATTAGCCTTTCCAATGTCTATCATTTAGTGATAGAAAAGATTTAGCAATAATTACCAATTCATCTACTGATTCAGCTGTAAGCAGTTTTTCCGTTTCCTTCCGTAATGACAACAATTCGTCCATCTGGAATAAAAGGACCATTTGCATAAATCTTTTTTATTAATGAACATCATTATCACTAGGAGAATAGGTTGAGTTGAAGAAAAAAGTGGTTTTCGAGAGAACTTCATGGTGCAAAAAATTAAGAGAGGGTAGGGTAATACACAATCGGATACCAGTTATTTATGACAAATCATATATGAATTTTACAGATTTAGCTGAGCATTTATGTTGATATTAACCCAAACATGCAAATGCAACGAGTAACTGTTCTGCTTTTGTTCATTTTCAAAAAAAGCGAGGGCTTTTCAAGGCAATTCTAAAACAAATAAGTGAACAAACAAGGACAGAACTAACGGCATTTTTTTCTTCGCGTTTGTGCCTTTCATTGATAATTTCCTGTTCTTTCAAGTGACTTTTGATAGGTAGCATTGCTTTCCTCATCTATAACACCCAGGAAATATAATATTTGCTTATTAAAACACATCAGAAAAGTAGTAAGTAGCTTTCCCTAATTGCAGATTAACGCAATTCTGTATTAATCAGCTAGGTTCGTTGACTATAAACTTTTCAAAGGATATACAAACTTAACGGACTGAAAATAATGAAGAACAAACAGAATCTTTACTCTGATCAAGCAGAAGTTATGCTTCAACTCACTGAATCATAAGCAAAACACTTTAACTGTGCCAGAACGATAGATGTAGTGGAAAGAGGTAAATAAATATATAGAACAGTAGGAGTAATGAAACGAAATGACTAAGTGACTTCAAACTCAGAGACTAAAAAGTTTCAAATATCGGCTGATGAAAGTTTACCTCTTCGAGTTCCCCCTCTTTCACCCGTTTATATTTAATTCTCTCGTGCGCGATCACCTCTGCTTGCAAACACTTCTGTAAATTATATACAAATATTGCCCAAATATTAGCAAACTAGGAAAACATTTCGTTCAAGCATAAATGGAAAGAAAACAAGTGCACAACTACCAAAAACATTAAAATGAATAGACAAATCCCCTTATGAAATCCAGAACATATTTGCATCACACAAAGGATAATCGATGCATCGAATGGATACCCTCTAATCTAAAGTGACATCACCGAAATAACAAAATGAAAAAAAAAAGAAAAAAACAAGGTATAAACAAACCAGATAGAGTTGTTTGCATTGAAGAAGTCGAATACGTTCTCGCATTGTTTCACGTCGTCGATAATTTTCAGTCAGAGGGACCAACGTTTTCAATTCACTTTGCACAGAATTCAAAAGGCGTTCCAAACTTCAAAACCGAAAGATATTTATGCAGAAAACAAAAGGCTCGAAGAATATCTATAAAACTAAACAAAACAATAAGAACATGGAAAAATTAACCGAAACATACTATTTTGTATACGAAACAGGTGACTCATCATATCGTATATGTCGAATGTTTTGGTGTAACTCGATCAGTTTTTTCCCAACAGCCTAAATATGATGTTAGATTAAATGATTTATAATTTAGAAGTTATAAAAATGTTGAGAAACAAAACTATGGAAGAATTTTCAATTCTAACTTTTTCCGTGTTCTTAAGCAGAACATACGGCTTTTGCTCTGCAAAACTTTTCACTTTATCTTGTGCCAGGAACGTGCATGGATTATCAATCTGAAACTTGTAACCGAAAATGTTTTAAAAAGCCATCTTTGATGCATAGAATGAAAAAATATCACATCTTCATTGCATTCCTTTCGTTCATTGTTTTCACGGAATATATTTCTTTCCGCTTCTGCCCTTATTAAAAACGCCACAAAAACAAAACTTTAGACTACTTGTTATTAAGAATTAAATGGTCAAAATTAGATTACCGTAATGAAATTAACATATCTTATAAAAGCGTTGTATTATTCCAGTATAATGCACTATTTGTATTAGGTTCACTCATTTCATCTCAGGCCAATTTATTATAGGAAAAAACATGTTTTAACTATCTTAATTTATCGTACTTTTGCTCTATCCGCCATGAATTTCCCATTAGTACCCTGATTTTGCTTATAGCACTTCATGCGGTTATTAAATATTGTATAGTTTGTTCTGCCATAACTACTTTATTATTTACAAGCAAAACTTCGTTCTGCAACACTAGGTTTAAATTAATAGTGTTTACATATATGAAGGAAACGAAATATCACCGGAAATAACAGTGTAATACAAACAAAATTTTTTGAAAGAAGGAGGATGAGCAACAGATTTCATGAAAATCTACCAACATTTCAGGTTAAGGAACCATTATTTCACCTGGATATTGTAGCTTTCAGCAACATCACGTAATTTTGCCTGCGTTACTTTCTCACCGTCAACAAAATAATGGGAACTGCCGGGTCGATGCAAAACAATGGATAATACTCGATCCTTTTCACGCTTTGAATCACGTCTAAAATTCATTCTGATGCCAAACTTGGGAAAATCTCCTTAACGAAAAAGAAAAGTATTACGTTCAGCATGCTTTTCACTTTCGCACATTTTTCAAAAAAAATTAACAGTCTCCGAATTCTCTTACAAATACTTGCCGAATGACCATACGATAAGAAACACTTACATGAAGACTTTAACAGATCCTTTCTCCGAACCATGCTTGATATAGTCAGCTAACAATTCGGATCGTCCAAGTAAATTTGGAGTACCACCCACTGCCAGACATAAACCACACATAATTGTGCTTTTGCCTTTAAAGGAAGGGAATGAAATAAAATGAGACATCGAAATTAAGAACTGGTTATATCAGATTAGGCATTTACTATCGTACTCATCATTCACTTAACATGTTAGGTTCGGGTTTGAAAAATCGTCAAAGTACTTTATTACCTTATTAAGATAAGCAGTATTACAACTAACCTGTCCCATTTGGTCCAACAATAACATTCAAATTTGGACCAGGAAACATTTCCACATGTTCATAAGTCCTGAAATTATTAACTAAATACGAAATATTTAGGAATTTTGTAAACCTTTTCATAGTTCTGTTTTCATATGATAAAGGAAATTAGAATTAATAAAAATTTTGGTCCAACCTAATGAACAAGGTAAGGTTAAAATGATTAGAACGATTTGTTATACATTTAATGAACATATTGAAAATGAAATAACAGATTGATGACCAAACTAACCCCTGCATAAGACATCCGTATTGGTGAAACATTCAAATTTTTACAGGGAAAATAAATAAAGAACTTATTATCCGGTTCCAACTTGAGAGACCAGAGTATTACAATATAAAGAGATAATTTACCTCATTCTTTTTTTCCCCCCTTTCGCTCTCTTTTATCATATTACTCCGCTTATCTTTTATTTGTTAGGAAAGCATCTCACCAATTTTGTGATTCTAGGCTAAGAAAAAAAGTATTTAAATTTTTGAAAACTCTGACGTAAAAAATCTAATAAGCTGTAAAAATAATATGTTCTACTCCAATTAACTATTTTATATACTCACTACATACTCTTGATATCGTTACTTCATTTATAATTTAATAGTTTTTTGATAAACTTGTTTACCTACAAAACGTCGTTGAGATACTTAAACGATTTATACAATATTTCTACTTATTAATACTTATTCATTTCTAATACTCACATTTGGCTGATCGTATTATTGCTACATATTATTGAAATGATTCCTTCTTTATTTAATCTATATATGTGCTATATTATAATAATTAAAAACTTACAGGAAATTTTCGAAAATAATCTGAGTAATTGATCCATCAGGAAAATGTTCAACAGTTGACATAGTTTTTTGCTGGTTGTTTACATTCATTGCATTTCAAAACACATAAACTTTTTGATTATATAATAAAACACAAGGCCTTAAAATATTTTCATGATTACTCTTTTTCTTTGCATTTTGTTTAAATGTTTTAAGCAACTTTAATTACTTTGTTTATCGATTAATAATTACAACAATTCATTGCATCATAATTCTAAGCATCCTTTAATTACATTTACTCTTTGGCCACTTTCAAAATACTTTCTTAATTCGAAATAACTTTAAATGGAAAGCTCTCTTATCATCTAATTCATTGTCTTACAACTTCAATGTATTTTTATCCACCAATTTCATTTTAACTTAAACATTTTTTTACCATCAAATTCATTATCAATCTAAACTTCAAATGAGTGATATTCAATTTTCCAAAATTATCATTTGATATATTACCATTTTAGATTAGCTCCCTTCATCACTTAATTACAGTAAATTGGGGGTAAATTAAATGGTAAAGTTAGGAGTGACAATTTTTCCATAATTATGATAAATACTGAATATGTCATTATATCAGTTAATGAGTACTCAAATTAAACCTTGTTAAATTTTATAATTACATAAAAATAGTGTAGGAACAAAGATGGTCATGAGTGAGGAGAAAGTAAAGATTAATACGAATACAAAGAAGTATTTCGTTGAAAGGAAAAGAAAGAAAGAAATGAGAAAATATTTTATGATCAATGATGCTATATTATTTTTCTATAAGATTATAAAATACATTTGATATGAATTAAACCATTTCTTCCATTGCGGATAATAATAAACCATGAATTTTTTAATATGAATATAAATTTATATCAATTTTGAATATGAATTTAACATGAATTTTCAAAAAAATTTCTTCCACCATCTAACTTCCTGTTGACTTTAATCATCTCTCATAGTCTCTTATATCAATTCCAATTAATGATCCTATCCCTATCATTTCGAACTCAAAAAATCACTCAACCCTCTCAATTCCTATTTTCATTTCCAATTTCAATTCCCTGCCCTTAATATACCCCAAGTTCCATTCGAAATTTCAAATCCGTCTCAAATACACAACAGGTTCAAGGTACCATTTGCGAATTTACATTTTTTTTTTAAATTTTATGAAAATTGTCATCCTACTCGTTTCGTAATGAGATAATGGAGAAAGTAGAATGGATGAGTATTGGGCGGTGAAGTAATAGGCGCAAAAGGTGTCATCTGTTTTGTTAGATCTATAAATTTATCAAATATATGTTATTTAGATGTAAATGTGTGTATACATAATGTTTGTTTACAATGCGTATTTGTATATGTATATAAACTTAATTTTAAGAATAGTAATTTTATTTATTTCTATCATTTTTTTTTTTTATTTTCATTTTAGAAATGATTCATATTTCGATTCCAACAACGCAAACACTAGTTGAAATAGACGGAAGCCGTACGTATGATGTAAGTTGTTCAGTTTTATTTTATACAGATTAAAATATCAATTAAGCATTACTTATCATTTTACTACTAGTATTTTAGAGTAATTCAAAATTTTACTTAGTACTTATTGCCATTTTTGATACTTATATATATATGTATATATATGTATTTATTGGTATAACAATTTTTGATATTTGAGTTTTTTTTTTTTATTTTAACGATAAATACTTTTGTTTTCTATGGACTATTTTTTTTCCTTCCATTTATTTTGATATTTGCTAATATAGTACTTAACATCTTTGTCGTTTTACTAAATGATTAGTAATAACTACTGAAAATCAATAAATTATCGACTTCCAGTAATTACTATAATTGGTGTTCATTGATTAATAAGTAAGATTTATTGGTATAACATTAATTTTTTAATGTATTTATTTATTCCCAGGCATTTGATATATACATAAATGGTGCTTATCATGCAAGCATACGATATTCTCATTTGTTGAAGCTTCATGAAAAGTTGCGTAGCCATTTCGGATCAAAATTAAGAACACCCGATTTTCCATCGAAAAAGTTGTTCCGAACATTGGATCACAAAACGTTGGAAGAACGGAGATTGGCACTGGCACGTTATTTTCAGTCAAGTTAGTTTTTTTTTCTGCTGTTAGGATTAAAAAAAAAAATGGAAAAGATTGTATAGGAGAACTTAGATTGAAATCAGTTTTGGAACAAAGTATTATTCCATTTTCAATAATAAAAGTTTGGCACTTTAATGCCTTCAAGAATTATCAAGTCTTTATCTCACCTAATTTCATTGAGAATCAAAAAATCCTCGCTTGATCATTTTTGTTGTCAAGATACTATTCAAAGTAAATCAGTTAATGTGTATATGGAGTATGCTTTATTTTGGTACCAACTACTTTGTTGAATATCATGATTGGTCCGTTTTTTTCTTTTTTTCTTTGTAATATTGTTATGGTCTTGTTTTCAGTAGTTCAGCTTCAGCCAATCGCTCAACATTTTATAACTGAAAACGCTTTTCTTAATTTCCAAATCGTAAGTGAATTTTGCCTTATTTTTCTGACCATTTCTTTCACTTAAGTTGATGGCGTAAAAGAATCATCTCCTTTTTCTTCAGGAATCATTTCGACCATCATCTAGTAACGTCTCAGTTGACATTTTCATGGCAGATGGTACCAAGGAGACTATTCGCTGCAACGTTGAACATCCTACCGAAATCATTTTAAAGGCTTTTTTTCATTTCTCTACGAAAAATATCCGAAATATATATACATCATATTTTTTTCTTCTGAAAGGCAACGAAATCATTTTTAGCGATTTGCTGACATTATTGGTTTGGGTACTGAAAACGTTGGACATTTTGGTTTATTTGTGGCTAAACGACGGTATGCTAATGGTGATGGTCATTTTGTGTCTTCCCTTAGTTCAATGAAATACCCGGATACACTGTGTTTGTTATTCATACAATAGTAAAAAGTTTAACAGTGAAGTGCTGAGTTTCTAATATGCTCTTATAAAAAAATGTCTTTAATATTGTGATGATATAAGTCAAATTTTGAGATACAGGATTATTTGTAAGATCCGAATTAGACTTCCTCACTTAATCATTCTCTTTTCATGTTCTGAATTTTTTATTTCTTAATATGCCTATAGTGTCACTGTTTTGTTTGATAAGGACTGATTCAGTAGACTCATGAATCACTTCATATTTTAACATATCGTGAAGCTCATTTCGGTCTACGCATATTTCTTTCGTAATAATAATGGAAGTTAGAGACTTTAGCGAGAAATGCCAAATAAAATTACAACTAAATATAATGATGTATTTTATAAGCGTCAAATATGTGGAATAATCATTCAAGTGTTATAATACGATGAATAATCTCAACAATCCTTTCTAAGGTCAGAGGTTTCAGACATAAACAAGTTTTTTCCAAAATTTTTATTTAGCTGTGCGACTGTTACGAAATTTTGAGTCACCTTATTTATCGATCCATTTGTTGAACCAGAAATCGGCTGCGACAGGAGTGTTTTATTTCATTGTTATTAGGAAATTAGTTTGGGATCCGAAAATTGAGGAAGAGCTTATGGATGATCCGGGAGCTGTTCTATTGCTATACAAGCAGGTACATTTTTTGATCTATAATTTTGTACCGGAATTATGTTAGAAACATGGACAGATTTTCAGGAACATCATGCAGTCTTTAAAACTTCCTTTACATTATATTTCTGGGAAAAAATTTCGGAACTTAATGCTATATTCGTGAGCCATTTTTATTTTAGAGCAAAAAGAATGAAATCTGGAAAATGTTTAGGCAGCATGTGATCTGCATAATGGTCATTTTGTTCCCCGTCAAACAGATATCAAAAATCGTTTGTTAGCTTTGGAAGAGAAAGGCAGTTGTACTCAGGTGAATGGATTTTTTGTTTTCTTCTAATAACTATCAAAAGTTTTAGTAGGTAATTCGTGCTTGATAGACATTGGTTGTTTTTGATTTTCGTTTTTTCTAGATTAATCTTCTTGTGGATTATTGTGTTGTGGAAGGATTTCGAAATCTTTGTTTAGTTTTATATAGTTTTCTCAATCCTTATGACAGAGATACTAAATGATTATGGAATATAGTTATAGCTCATTTATACGAGGCACACATACCCGGCATCTGTTTCAATGATGACCGATCAACTGGTCTCGAAAATGGCAAGTCTGTTAATTCTTCTTTTATACCCTTTGTTTCAGTTTCTTCGTTTATGTCATTTGGAACCAAACTACAGTTATGAAGTTTTGGAGCCTTGTTCAAGTAATTACCCACGACCAGGAACAGAATGCAATTTGAAGGTTGGCCGACGTCATATACTTTTGGAATTCAAAGATGAGGAAACTAAGGATGGTGTGAGTGTATTTGATATTATGTTTTGAAGCTTTTAAAATTGTTTCTTCATTTACTTCTTTAATGTTTTGACAATTTCCTACTTCGTCCCATTCTTAAATGGCGCTGTTATTTGATGATGAGTGATATAGTTTTTAGCGCTGTTATTCCTCATATCTCATTTCAGTAGCTTATGATGTATGTCTCAAATCGATGGAAGTAATTTTTGAATTCCTTTCTTAAGACGAGTTTTACTCTTTTTAGATTTTATTTAGGAAGAGCTGAACTTGTATAAGGGGAGGATGGATTTGAATTTTAAGGGAATTTGAAGTAACTGTTACAGTATTAATATTTTAGCTTTTTCGTTTAGGTTGCGCGCGCAGAGTTTCGAGCAACGAGAATTCGTGTATGGCGAATTTCTCAGCATGATAATAACGGCTTTACTTTTTTGTTCGAATATCTAATATCAAAGGGGATATTTCAGTGGATCACTCTGTATACCAATCAGGTTTTGGTTCACTCATTCTGCTTTATTTATAACTAACCTGAAGAAATTCCAGATTTTTTTTTCCGATAGCCTTTCTGAGCTGTAATAGTTTACTTGAATTTGTTGTAAGGTTGGAAGAAAATTTTGATATAGATGAAAAAGTAGGTCACCACCTCCATATTAGTTTTCCTAAACTCCCGAAATTTTGTTGTTTAATGTTATTTCTCGATAGAATCGAAGTTGTGTGGCTGAGACCTCAAATTTAAGCGAACCACAGTTTAATCGATGGTTAGATATAAATTCGAACCAGAATGAACGTTGGTTTCAGGCCATTTTGCTTTCTTTATTGCTTCAATCGATTGGTTTTGAAATTCTCAAGGAACATCGCTCCTTAATGACCACGGTGAAAGATTTCTTTTGCTTTATATTTAATTTTTTTCTGGTGTGACCAATTTTTTTTAATTTTTTTTCCTGATTTCTGATGTCTTTGTTGGATTTGTTTAAGAATGCTTGTAGCGATGACACTAGCTTTTTTGCTATGAATAATGATTAATTCGAGATGTATAATATCATTTCGCTTTTCTTTTTGTGCGATTGCAGAGTTCTAAAAAAATGCTTCTTTTTTTCAATTCTTTCTTTTCACTCTTAATTAATGTTAAGGTAGCGCTTAAAGGACTCTTTGTAATTCAGTGCACCATATTTTTCATAGTCATAAAATTCTGTGATTTGCTATTTTTTAATACTCCTAATGAGATACAAACATTTTTCTTATATTTAGTTTGGTGGACATGAGTATGATTATCCAGCAAAAAATCTGTTCAAAATTTATTCTTCGCAAGAGGATGAATCGATAGGATCTCCCGTTATTTCAAGAGCTGCCCAGTATTTAACAGCAGTGGAGAATGGTGAACGGAAGAATTCGATACAGCCGAAAGAGGTCGAAGAAAGTGGAGTCATTGCAAATCGTAACTCATTAACGAATAGTCAAAGCGACAACGGTAGCGTTCGGTCAGTGGGCACAAATAATCGTTATGATAGTACCATCCATATGCAGCATACAGAATCGATTGCCAGCGATTCGAATGAATCTGTACGAGATGCTTTTACCACAATTTCGGTATGTTTTTGTTTTAAACTTGTTTTATTTCTCAAGCGTTTTAGTTGATGAATAATAAAGATTAATTGGGATTCATGATTGTTTATACCAGAATTATTTTATGTTTCCTCAAAGGGATTATCAGTTGAAATTGCCTAAGAGAATGAGGATTGTTATTCAACTCATCTGTTCATTAAGATTGTTCAATCCTAGCTAGCTAATTATGTGACAATGTCAGGGGCTTGCTTGAAACCTCTAAAAATATAACAGTTCTTTGGATAACCATAAGCAGATAGTACTGCCACTATATCATAACGAGAGTTAAGAACATCCTTTATGAAGGACTAGATCGAATTTCTTGAAAGGATGGCATTAATATTAATATTCATGTACCGTTGAATCATTAAATTTGTTTCAGAACGCATTGCCGTTCAGAAATGAAGGATTTGAAATTACAGACGATGACTTATAATCGTTTTTCGGCGATGTGAAATTAGCAAAGGAGATCATAAATTTCTCTTTTCAGTAATTATTTTCTTCATTTAGTAAAATTGTAGTTCACTGCTTTGTATTATACAAAATACTACTATCTCTGCTTACATTTTGAGCTCTTATTTGTGAAGATCCTTTTTTTGAACGAGAAGTATTGCAAATGCCAGTGTTCGATAGATCTTTATTTGTGATTTTTTTTCGATTCCACCATTTATTTGTTATTTTTTATCTTTTTTTTTTGTATTTTATCTTTGACTTTCTTCTTCATATCTATCTGAACTTTGTCCCAAATGTAATGCTCACCGAATATGCCTCTTCTTGTTTCTCCATGTTCCGATAATGCCATTTCTTTGTAATACAGACATCCGTAAGACTTCCACAAAACACACTGGGACGCTGATTTAAGATGTTCGAGTTTTTTCCAGATTCGTAGGATTAAAAGCGATCCAAAACGATCCAAATGAATCGAAATTCATTTGCTAATAATGTTTGCTGATTTTGATATGACCATGTTATTCTGGAGATGTGTCATACTGAATGGCTGCATAATTTCATCGTATTGATTAGAATATTACTGGAAACTCGAACTTATCATTCATTTTTAATTTTGATGAGATGAGATTTGCTTTTTCTTATGCTTTGTTTCAAGAATTGTTTAGCGGTTTCGGTCAGAATTTTTACTGCCACGAACAGAAGTTTATTTGATATATATATATAATTCAATGGTTGTTTCAAAAGAATGATTCAAATGAGATCACATTTTATGTCACTTGAATACTATACATCACTTTATTAGCATGAAACTATTACTCTTCCTATTGCGATATTTTCCATTATTTATTGTAATGATATTTATTCAAATCAGTTTTTATTGTTATATGTTTTTACCGTCTAATTTAGATCCAAAAATACTGTATTTTATTCTTTAGCTACGGCTATTTTACTTCCTTTTTCTTTTTGTTCTTTCCGTCACTTCGTAATTTTCTCCAATTCATATCAAAATTAATTTGCATTCTCTTTAACATTATCTGGAAATTTCCTAATTGGAAAAAAATTGTAATTTTGCTTTTACATTATTATAATATATC